GACAACTCTAAAAAAGATGAACATGTGTCTAAAGAGAAGAAACTAAGGGGAATCTATGTATGTGCATGTACTTTTACATACATATGCTTGTGAGCAGGTATTTGGTGGTGGTGAGAGTTAAAGCTAAGGATATAAGTTTAAATGGAAAGTTTCTGAAATAAAACAAGTAGAAATGATAAGAGTGTGAACTTAGGCATTGACTGTAGGCCTGATGAGTAAGGGATGAGGGTGATTTAGGAGATACAATAACAGTACTTGGTGTCCATTTGAGGAAGAGGCATCTTGGATGACTCCCAGATTACTTTCTTGGGTGACTGGCTGAATATTAGTCATATCATTTGCTCTGATAGGGGATACAGGTGGAGTAGCAAGTTTGTGTTCTTCTGTCTGGAGAGGGGGGCAAGGAAAGGCTTTATTGACTGTGAAAAACAGGAGAGGATATCAGAGATTAAAATGAAGTTCAAACAGAATTACCCTCAGAAAGAAAACTTCCCCCGCACAACTGGCAAAATATGAACACAGACTTGGGACTTAGTGATTCATAGCAGTAGCTGGAGGAAGGTGTGTGAAAGTGAGAGGGACCAGAAGTAGCAACATTAGGAAAACATTCCTCCTGGGGGAGAAGATCGAGAAAGTAAGGTGTCCCTTGGAGCCGTGGCAGTGAGAGGAAAGAAGGAAGGAGAAAATTGGGGTCTTAGGGAAATGAAAGAGACAAGGCATACAAATTGCACCCCCACCCACCCACTACCACCACGACATCATCCATTAAAGCTTCTGCTCTTACTAACCTGCAGAAGCAGACACGCTTGAACTCTATCCATAAAATGCTCAGGAATAGAAATAAACGTCATAGAAAGCTACTTTAAGAGGAATACAGAAAATGTGAGTTAATGCATTTTCACTGATGAAAATTCTTCCCTCAACAGCAAACACAAAACAAAGAAAAACTATATTATAACACTCCAACCAAATAAAATGTCCTCAAACTTGTGGACATACTAATAGAGATATTAATGTAAGGGACATTGATGAAAGGAAGAAAAACAACCAAAAGAGTGAACGTGAGATATAGAGAGAAGCAAAAAGTGTCAGAGAGAAAGGGGGTGAAATGCAGTAAAGGCAAAGGAAGACCCAAAATACTTACAGAGCTCCTGAAGAAGAAAAATAAATCAATGGAACAGAACAAATTTTTAAACCACAATTGGGAAACTTTTCAGAAATTAGAGAAAAATGGAAATCTACAGATTAAAAGGGCCTAACCTGAACGGATTGATCCAGTACAGTGAACTCTGCGTGATAAATTATTAGATTTTAAAGACTAGTGAAACTATTAAAGTTTAAAGACAAATTTTTTTTCTGGGTCCCCAGTGGGGAAAAAGACTGTATTGCCAATTTTTAAAAAGTAGAATGTGTATCATACCTCTGAAAAACAATATACAAAGGAAGGCTACATACAATAGCATTTTTTAAAAAACAAGGAAACAAAGTTCAAGCTAGCCAGCCTGTCCCTCAAGTATCAATTTTGAACATGAAAGAATTTAGGAAATATTTAATGAGAATTTAATATATTTCATTATAGATCCAAGACTAAAACAGTGGTGGAAACATGGATATAATTGTTATATGTTCCAACAAAGTAGAAAGAATAAAAATAAGTAAAGGGAAAAATAAAATAAAATCATTCCCTATTGCATAAGTAATAAGTGGGAATTAGGGGATACTACTTAAAGGGGCCAGATGATAAAAAGTGAAGTAAGCAGAAGAGAGATTTAGGAAACTCTAAAATACATATCATGTACTCATACACATGCAAAGGCAACCACTAAAACAAAAAAGGCAAAAAATGGCAACTAGAGAAAGAAAAAGGGTAAATATGAATAATAAAAATGGTAATTATAGAGTTTAAACATATCAGTCATCAATAAGCTTAACTCACCTATTAGAAGAAAAAATTATCAAATGGCTTCATAAAGCAAAACCCAGTCCTATGCTGTATACAGGAGACACATCTAAAGCTCAGTGATTTAAAAGGATAAAAATAAAGGGATGTGCAAAAAAAAAAAAAAAATGCAGGCAAACTGAAATAGTCTGAAAGCAGAGGTTGCAATCTCCAGTCAAAGTAGAAACTAGGCAAAAAATTATTAGACACAACATAGTATACTTTTTAAAAAATCATTACCCAAGGATATGTTTATTGATGAGAGAGAGAGAGAGAGAGAGAGAGAGAGAGAGAGAGACAGACATCGATATGAGAATGGAACATCAACTGGTTGCCTCCTGTACATGCCCTGACTGAATCAAACCTGAAATCTGTGCCCTGACTGGGAATCAAACCCATGACTTTCGGTTTAAGGAAGGACACTCCAACGGACTGAGCCAAATCAGCCAGGCCAGAGTATACTTTTCAACGTTAAAAGCCAATTATGAAGTTGTAATATTTTTGAGTACCTTATATACCAAATAATACAGCAAACACCTCAACATAGCAGAATTGCTATAGTAGAATACAATTAATCCCTAAACAATCCAGGGGTTAGGAATGCTGACCCCCACACAGTAAAAAAATCCATGTACTATAACATTTGACTCCTCCAAAGTTTAACAGTAATTGTCTACTGTTGATCAGAATCCTTACTGATAGCATAAACAGTTGATTAACACATATTTTCTATTTCATGTATATTATATATTTGTGTTTTTACAATAAAAAGCTAAAGAAAAAGTTTGTTTGTTTGTTTTGTTTTTTTGTGTTTTTCCCGATTTTCTGTTTCTTCAGTCTCTAGTGGTCTTCACTTTCGGTCCTCCTGTGTAGGGGTTCTTTCCTGCGAATTTTCCGTTGATTATTCAGGAAGTTTTTCTGTATTTTAGTTGTAATACCAGTTTGTTCCTGGGAGCATGTCAGTGCAGCATCCACTTACTCTGCCACCATTTTTTTTTTCAAGAAAAAGTTTTTTAAAATTATGCCCTGCTGGTGTTGCTCAGTGATTGAGCGTCAGCCTGGGAACTAAGAGGGCAGTGGTTCAATTCCCGGTCAGGGCACAGGCCTGGGTTGCGGGCTGGATCCCTAGTGCAGGAAGCAGCCGATTGATGACATTTCTCTCCCATCAGTGTTTCCATTTATCGCATTCCCTTGCTCTCTCTCTAAAAATCAATAAAACATGTATATTTTTTAAATTATATGTGTTAGTGGGCCCTCACAGTTCAAACCGATGTTGAGGGTCAACCATATAAGCACAATGCAAGAAGAAATAGAAACACATGATGGATTTTGACTACATCACAGTACAAGTTTGCTACAATAAAATGTTTCAGGACCATCTAGTTCATTTCCCATCCTAGACCTGAAATTAGCCATTTCTTCAAGGACTCTTGGTTTCTTTTAGTGGGAAATGATATTTAGAGATCACAATCTTTATGTTGGAAGTCCTCACTTATCCTGGATTGGTCTTTGTTTCTAGGCCTTATCAAGTGGGCAAAGCTTAGGATATTTTTAAGAGAGAAAATTCATCGTTAGTTCATGGTGACATTTCTAATTGAAATTTAAAATTATAGAGTTTTTTTCTCTTTAACTTTTATATTGTATCTTTTTTCTTGTGCAAAAGAATCTTGATTTCTATGATATTAACAAAGTTAATTTAGTTATCTTAACTACAGGTTTTTTTTTAATATTTTATTGATTTTTTACAGAGAAGAAGGGAGAGAGAGAGTTAGAAACATCGATGAGAGAGAAACATCGATCAGCCGCCTCCCTCGCATCTCCCACCGGGGATGTGCCCGCAACCCAGGTACATGCCCTTGACCGGAATCGAACCCGGGACCCTTCAGTCCGCAGGCCAACGCTCTATCCACTGAGCCAAACCGGTTTCGGCAACCTACAGTTTTAAATGAACAATACCAGTATTATAAAATTATTAACAATTATAAAGTGTAGGTACTGTAAAAGTTTTAAGGTATGTTTGCATTTTTTATCCATGACAAATATCCTAATATATATGTACAAATTACTGTTTCAAATAATTTATTTGAAATAATTTTATACATATGATTAAACCATCAACTCGCAACTTAATTAAGTTCATTTGTTTCATTTTGTTTTTTATTTTTAGGGATTTGTTATTTCCATTTTATTTTTGCTTTATTTTTAAAATTTTAAAGGATTCAGCATAGCTTAGCTGACATTTGTTTATTTAAATAAATAGCAACTGAAAGTCTTGGGCTTACAGGAACAGTGTTTTAATCAAAGAATTATTTAGTTATTCAAAAAAGTTTTCCTCAATTATTTTTAAAAATTGAGGAACTTACTATAATTAAAGGTTTCAGTTATTCAGTAATTATGGGAGCCTATAACCTACACAGTAGCTCTAGAAAGTGGACACACGTTATTACTAAACTACTTCTGGGAGTTTTTGTTTTGTCTTAATATATTTTCAGAGAGGAAAGGAGAGGGAATGAGAGATAGAAACATCAATGATGAGAGAGAATCATTGATCAGCTGCCTCCTGCATGCCCCATCCTGGAGACTAAACCTAAAATACTGGTGCCCTGTTCAGGAATCAAGCCATGACCTCCTGGTTCATAGGTCGACACTTAACCACTGAGCCACACCAGCCGGACTACTTCTGGGAATTTTATAGCAATATTTTCTAACACATTGGAACTCTCAGCAGTCTTATATGAATTTCTTAAACCCCTTAGTTTCCTAATTTGGTTACTCAGGACCTCAGTTATATAGATAACTGCTCACCTACCTTTCCAATACCAAAGTAACTTTTATTTTTAATATTTAATGAAAGTAAAATTCCATGCTGAAAAATTATATTTTGTGGCTTGAAATCTGAAATTTAAAACTTTAATCATGAAAGTCTGTTTTAGCAGTAGCAAAACATAAAATTGTAATTCTGTTAGGAATTTTATGGGAAGTTAGAGGATCCTATCATGTATAATTCTGTGATTTCTCTTTTTAGAGGCTGATAAAATACCAGTAATGCGTGGACAGTGGTTTATTGATGGTACTTGGCAGCCTCTAGAAGAAGAAGAAAGTAATTTAATTGAGCAAGAACATCTCAGCTGTTTTAGAGGTCAGCGGATACAAGAAAGTTTTGAAATGGATGTGTCAAAATCCATAGATGGAAAAGATGGTAAGACCAATTAATACATTTAACACATTATAAAAACCAAGTAAGTTGTTGATAAAGTTGAGTTGTTTCTAATTTTGACATAGTAATTTAAGAGTATTCAAGTTTATAAAACTTCTCATTATTTTAAACATTTATAATTATTTTAAAATTTAAAATGTCTATGAATTTCTGAACTATCTCAATTTCTATTTTACTTAATGTGTATGTTCAATGGCATAACATGATTTACTATAAATGACAAGTTGTCATAATGTACTCTCTAAATTCATTCTTTTTTTTTCTAAATTCATTCTTTTCAGTAGTTTTTAGTTATTAAAGAAAATTGAACTTATAAAAAGATCCCTTATCATTATATCAAAAGAGCAGTTTTGTTAATATTTCTTTTTTGTATCTCTTAGATGTCTCCATATTGATAACCAACTTTTAATTTTAAACAATCTACTCCTTACATTTCCTTATTCAGCATTTGAATATGTGTGCAGTAGTTTAAAATAATTATATAATAGCCAAGATTACTGTTTTGTTATGTCTAATCTTGAGTAAAATTCAAAATATGTGACACATTTAAAAATACTTCTATTGTTCCATTTACTGCAGGCAGTGGGATCAACTATTCTGGTGAGTATAACAGTATAGGTGGATTAGAATTTATAGATTCCTCTCTCTTTTTTTAAGCGTTTCTTCATCCATGCTTGCCTTTATTTGGGAGGTTTCTTGGCAAGCCCTGTTAAATCTGGTAAATTGAGTGATTCTTTTCCTTCCCCTCTTAAATATCTCCAAAGCAGAATATTGACCAAGTAATTCACAGAATGCAGTTTGGAAGAAATGAATGTCATTGGAAATAATTGTTTATATAACATAATTAATGGCAAAACAATAAGCTTTAAATTGGCTTATTTTTTTTCTTATAAGTAATAAGAAACGTCCCAAGTCTTTTCTCTGTCCTACTCTTTACTCTTATCTCTCCCTAAACACACACACACACACACACACACACACACACAGAGGCATGGAAACTATAATTTAGCTTATACCAAATTAAAATCTCTTTTGTATCTAGTTGATTAAAAATGTACATAATTGAGGAAAGTTGTGGCTTCTGAATAAATTGGCAATTAAATCTAACAAATGTGTATAATAATAGTTGTCTATTATGTGCTAGATAACATACTCGAAAAATTTTAAATATCATTTTCCTAATCTGCAGAGTCAAACATGTACTCATTTCAGTGTAAAATCCAAGGTCAACGTTTTTAAATTTTTTATTGATTTGAGAGAGAGGGGAAGGGGAAGAGAGAGAGACATTGATTGAGAGAGAAACATCGATTGGCTGCTTGCCTTAGGTGCCCCAACTGAAGATCGAACTTGCAACCCAGGGATGTGCCCTGACCAGGAATCAAACCCACCACCTTTTGGTGTACAGGACAATGGCTCCAATCAACTGAGCCATGTGGGCCAGAGCCAAAAACAAGGTTTTTACATATCAGTATATAAAGAGCAGTTCAGTGTCTACAGAGCAAGCTCTCTGTACATTCCTGCAGATTGCTGTAGAGACAATACTTCCCCAGTTATAGCACAAATAGTAAATTTTACATATCTGTGATCTTTTATTAGTGCCTGAAATATTTTGTAACCTCTCATCACCACTACCAAAATAAACATAAAAGCCTACTTTATAGTGTTTGAAGAACTGACCTTTATTTTATATCATTTCATTGCTATTGGAGAAGGCTGAATTCTGGATTTTTCCCTTTCTATTAATTCTCCTTAAGTCTTGCCTCAAAAATGGCAGTTCACCTTAATGAACCCAGTTTATCCACCCAAATTCTTTACTATTAATGTACAGTAGGTCCTCAAGTTACATGGGAGATCTGTTCCTATGGTGCGACATAACGGGATTTTCCCCGTAAGTCAGAACCCACCTACATAAGCACCTACGTCACTCACATGGAGCACATACACAGCAGTATTGAAGTGAGACAGTAAAAAAAATTTAAAAGAAAGATATAATTCCTGACCTTTACTTGTGGTAAATAAATAATAAAAAATATAAAAAACATATGTATATATGTCAAAATGACCGAACTTTTTTTTTTATAAATAAATGGGAGATGGCAACGTAACCACAAAACGACGTACGTCCGATGTAACCCGAGGACTGTCTGTATGAAAAATAAATCCCCAAATCCTAAGAGCTTAGAGGAGAAAAAGTATGGTATGAATAATAAAAATATAAGTAGATTGTTTCCCTTTCTCAATCTGTTTTCAAAACATTTTTATTCCACTTGCTAATTCATCCTGTGGAAGTTCGTCAGCTCTGTTTTATCTCTAGATCTCATGTACTTGGAATCTTGTTTCTATTACAGTAAAAAAATAGAATTTCATGTGCCCTCTATATTTCTACTCCCTATTAAAATGTTAAATGTAGTCCTTGCCAGTGTGGCCTAGTTGATTAAGCATGGTTCCCTGCACCGAAGGGTCACCAGCTTGATTCCTAGTCAGGGCACATATCCAGATTGTGGAACCCAGTAGGTGTGCATGCAGGAGGCAACCGATTAAAGTTTCTTTCTTATGAGCCAATCATTTAATATGTCTGATAAAGAACATAGTTTATTTGTGTGAGTAGATTTTCATTATGCCTTTGCGTGTATATGCTGATTCTAGAGTACCAGTGTAGGATATAATAATAATACTAGAGGCCCAGTGTACGAATTCGTGCACCAGTGGGGTCCTTCGACCTGGCCTGCGGGATCAGGCCGAAACCAGCTCTCCAACATCCCGCAAGGGGTCCCAGATTGCGAGAGGGCACAGGCCAGGTCAAGGGACCCCACTGGTGCACGATCAGGCCTAGGGAGGGACTGTAGGAGGGCTCCAGGGCATGTCTGGCCCTTTTGCTCAGTCCCGATTGGCCAGACCCCAGCAGGAAGCTAACCTACCAGTCGGAGTGTCTGCCCCCTGGTGGTCAGTGCACGTCATAGTGAGCAGTTGAGACACCTTAGCATATCATTAGCATATTATGCTTTGATTGGTTGAACGGACGACTTGACACTTAGCATATTAGGCTTTTATTATATAGGATATTTTGCTAGCTTTAAGGATATACCAAGTACACTGAGTGGTAAAATTCTAGTTAGTAATAACAGGAAATTGTTAAACTGTTAAAACACTTTTGCATTGTAATCTTTCAAAGTGATGATTCTTTGAAGTTCATTAGAAGAAAACTTCCTTTTTTAAAATATACTATGGCATATCAGCAAAATATCAGCATATTTTATTATTAACAAAGATTATAAATTTAATTCAGTATATATACTGTTGTCTTAAATTTCCAACCATTTTATTGGTTATTCAATTTTATGTAAAACATTTATGTATTAAGATGTGACATTTGACTTTGAAGATTATGGAAAATTTGGTAGTACATTTGAAAATTATCATTGGTCTTAAGGAAAAGGTATTTGCTGTCCAAAAAGATATCTTTGTTGGAAAAATAACTCAAATTTACCACAACTACAAAGATAAAAAAAATATTACAAACTTTTATTTTGCTTCTTACCACCAGGCTTCTGAAATTTCATATTTCATTAATTTGAGGGGGGAAATACCTTTTCCACCTAAATTTTCTCATGTATATGTGATAAAGCCTGACTTTTCATATTTTCAGGAGAGTTTGAATGCTTTCGTGTGCACTTAATACTGTGTGCTAAGCACTTTTCTGAAAGAAATAGGGTTTCTAGAATCTCAAAGGTATTAAGCCTTTTGGGAAGGAAAAGCTTACAGATGAAAACAGTTACAACGAGTAAGTACAACATAACACAGTAGATAGTGACTATTATACACTCTGAAAAGAGATTTGGAATAAAGAGAGTTGTTGATTACAGTGCAGTGGAGTTAATCAGGTGAGGCTTTCTGGGGAAAAAATCCCATTTAATAATTGAAAGCATTTTAAAATATAATATTTAGCAACTCTTATTAAGTTCTATGGGGAATTGCTAAGAAACTAAACAGAATTCTTGCCTTAAAAGACATTAAACTAAAATAGTACTTTTTCTTTCTGACTTTGTCTGTATTTTGGTTAGGGTAACTATTGCCACAAGTATGTTGGATATGTTTAGTATTTTCTCCCTGTTAATTTTCCTACTAATTTCAAAGTAAGCATTGAATTAAATACATTGATGAAATAGATTGTGCATAACTCTTTTAGTACACAAAAATTTGTGATTTAGATACTTTCATCTAAATTTCTTTTTTTTTTTTTTTTTGAGTTAAAATAAAAACTATTCTTATCATACCACTTCCTAGGCTAGGAGACATTAATCTAGAAGCCAAACAAATGAAAGTCTAAATTTCACTGGGGATGAATCATACAAATAAAATCAGGCCTTCAAATAAGTAATTTTGTAAATACTGCAACCTAGTACTAGATTAGTATCTTATTCATTTTATAATTCATCTATATAAAGCAGGAATCAGTAAAAAATAGCCAGTCGAACTAAAAGAATTAGTCCTGTACCTCACTGTGGCCAAAAAATGCATTACCTCAATCTATTTTTGAAAAAATAAACTCAAATTGAGAGATATTCTGCAAAATACCTCTTCAAAAATGTCAAGGTCATAATTAACTAGATGGAGGGAATCCTTTCACAATGTATATCTTCACCACAATGTATACTTTAAATATTTTATTTGTCAATGATACCTTGAAACTGAAATATTTTTTAAAATGTCAAAGTCATGAAAGAACAAAAAATTAAGGAATTTGTCACAGGTTAGAGAAGACTAAGAAAACATGACAATACCATGGTGCCTGGATTGGGCCCTAAAGCAGAAAAGGACATTAGTAAAGAAACTGAAGACATCTGAATAAAGTCTCTATTTTAGTTGATAGTATAGTACTAATGTTAATTTCTTAGTTTTCACAATTGTTCTATAGCTACACTAACATTAGGGGAAGCTGTACTATTTTTGCAACTTTTCTATTTCTAAAATTATTCCATAATAAAAAGGTTTAAAATTTTTTTTAAAAAAGCCCTAGCCAGTTTGGCTCCGTTGGTAGAGCATCAGCCTACGGATTGAAGGGTCCCAGGTTCAGTTCCAGTCAAGGCTACATACCTCAGTTGCAGGCTCGATCCTCAGCCCTGATCGGGCAACCAATTGACGTGTCTCTCTCACACTGATGTTTCCCTCTCTCTTTCTCACCCTTCCTTCAACTCTCTCTAAAAATCAATTGAAAAATATTATCCGATGAGAATTAACAAAAAAAAAAAAAAAAGAAGAGGAGGAGGAGGAGGAGGACAGTAGAGGAGTTAAAATAAAATAGTAAAAAGCATTTAATTAAACCTCCCACAAAAAAAGAAAAAAAAACAGGAAAGGAAGAACAGAATACAGATGGAACAAAGAAAAAATAAATGGGAAATGATAGATCTTAATTTACCCATATCAGTAACTATAGTAAATGCATATAAGTGAGCTAACAATCCAATTAAAAGGCAGAGGTTGACAGATTTGTTAGGTATGCAGGACCCAACTATATGCTGTCTACAAGAGTCACACTATCAATATAATGTCGCAGATGGGTTGAAAGTTTAAAAGTGGACTTTTTACTGTTCAAACTAATTTGGAGTGCTATGACAGTACAGCTGTTGGTGGATCTGTAAGGATTTATAACATTTAATATTTGGCATGTAAAGTTGTACTCATTTCTGTCACTGTTGCTGGATAGGGATATCACAAATGTCAATATAGAATTTCAGAAGTCAAAAAGACGGGCAGGAGAGGAGAGGGGAAGGTTTAGAGAATTCCCACCATCTAGTTCTTAGTTACTAATTTTTATAAATTTATCTAACTTAATTTCTCTGAGGTCCAAGAAAAATGCCAGAAGTCTTCTCATTACCTTTGACAGGCTTGAGATGTACAGACCTTCTTCCCCTGAAGTTGAGTTTATCCAAGTTGCCAGCTTTTATAAAGGGAAAAGTTACTGAGTTGTAAGAGGTGAATTATAGTAAAGAAATTTCTTAGAAATGCTGTATTTTATACTTTAAATATTTTTTTTGTGCAGGACTTTAAAAGAAAATTTTTATTAAATGCTAGCATCTAAAAAGTTAGCACTTCCAGTTTTATCTTGAGTTAATATATACTTTTGCTAACACAACGTAAGAATTTATAACTAAATGTTTATTTTAGAAAAAAGAAAAAAGAAATGCTTTCTGGCACTTGAATTTCTTTTAATAGCGATTTCTGTTTGGATTGATAATAAAGCCTTTTGTCTCTACTTTTGTGATAGTTTGAGTTGAAAAAATTAAGCTCTCTAAGCTAACAGGATGTTGTAACAAATAGAGCAAATGACTTTCAAGTGAAAATAAGATTTAAATTTGAAAAAAAGAACCATGTCTATTTAATTTTATAAAAATGTTTTAAATAAATATGCTTCTCTGTTTTGAATACATTGGGGTGTTTGCCCTTTTGTTAATTCCTAATTTATACTATTCCTTTAGAAAGGAAAGCCTTTCATTTTTGTATCTTGACAAGCTTTTTGAAAGCTTTTACATAATTTTAAAGTGGTCATTATGGTTCATATGTTTCCCATTAGTTCTCTTTTAGTAAATATGGAATTGGTTCGTGTTAGTTTTACTAGTAGATTTAGAAATTTTAGGTTTTGTTTCTTTGGTTAATAAAGTGTCAATTCTATGCCATTTTGATCTACTTGGATATGTTAGCTTTTTCCTATTGATTTTTTTCTAAATGTTTTGTACAAGTAGTACATCTACTCCTCAGTAACTGACCAGAGGCTCATGAATGAAGAAACATTTTCAGTGATGAAAATTGTTTCAGTTGTCATTTTCCACCCCCTGTGACAATGAAATGATTTTATAATCATGATATTCTGACCATTTTTTAATCCTAGTCTATAGTTTTTTATGTAGTTAAGCGCCTTATAAGCATTTCTCAATTACAGTGATTGCACCAATCTTTATACTTCATCTTTGTACGCATCAGATTTTTTTTATATTTCTAGTACCATAAAACAGGAATTAAATACTTACCCATTTGCACAGTAACAACCTTTGAATGTCACATTAATGTAGAAGGGAGTGAGAATGAAAATCAAATGTATTAGAACATAAATTTAAACTAAATCACCAAAGTTCTGTGGGTCATAATAGTTCATTTTAACTGAACTATTAACAAATGGATTTGTAAGTTCAAAGTGGATTTTAAAATAATTGCTTTCTTAAATTATAGAAAAATATTGATCTATAATTAGCAATATTTGACAGGGGAAGTGGTGACTTTAAGGTTCAAGTTATCTACTGATTTGCCAAATAGCAAGTCTGTCCAACTATACTCTGTATAGCCTGTTTCATGCTTACAAGATGTCAGCATATATTTTTACTAATGACCTTTTTCATTATTCTATCACTAATCTTTCATTTTTTTATCATTAATAACTCAGTTAAAAGTAGAGCTTTGAATTTGATTTGTTTTTGTTTCATTTTTAAAAGTCTTTTAACAACTTGAACAGTTGTGAAAAGGATATTGTGTTTCTGTGGGAAGGCTCCATTATACTCTAGTAGTTGAAAACATCTAGTAGAATGTATACTGTGCTATCTTCTCACGAAAGCTGAATTAGATATTTAAAATGTTCTTTATTGCATTCTCAATTTGCACATCAGTTGTTAGCTGTCAGAGCCACAAATTGGGTGAGACTAAATAATCTTAGTATTGTAAAGAAGGGGATTATAAATCTCTTGCACATACAAAAGTGCTGTGCTCTGTTTTTTTATTCTACCTATGCAGAGACATTAAAAATAATGGTTGCATAGTTGTCTTTAACTGAGAAATTTAGATATCGTTTGCCTTTTTTCAGTAAAAGTAGAGCATATATTTGATAAACATTGATATTTTGCTTCACTGACTTTTAATTAGAAATTATATCAATAAAGCACTTAGAATGTTTGTCAAATACAACTCATTTTTTAAAGTTAATAAAATAAAAAGGCAAAATAGCAAACCTCATTTAAAATATACTTTGAAGCTCAGTGTTTTTGCTTTCTTAGTTGCCTACCACCTCCCTCCCTTCTCCCTCCCTTCTCTGTTCAAATGGAGAGGATATAAGGCGAGTACAGATGCGGCAGGTCTTAAACGAAAGCGTTTCCAAGGTACAGTAATTGTAGTTTTATTCCTCCATGTAGTTATATTCCTGGCTTATAGCACTTAGTTGTATTTAGAGCATTCAGTAGTCTTTAAGATATAGAAATTATTAGTATCCATATTTAAAGCATAGAAATGTATACATTGTGCTATTTTTTTAGTGTTAATTTTAAGTGGTATAAACATTTGTAAATGATGTGTGTAGTCCAATAATGGGATATTCGCCAGTATTAAGAATGAAATTTTGTAGGCCTAACACTATTCTCTTAATATCTTGATCTTGAAGTTTCACTATTCTCATCATATGTTGCTCAAAACTATTTTAACAAAAATGTGGTTTAGAATCAGACAAAAAGGCTTAAAATAGTGACTTAGATTGGACATAGAATTAGAAAAGTAAATAATTGTTAAATGTAGTAAAGTATTTTCTTTAATTTATGAAAAGTTCTTTTAAAAAGCTGAATTTGTACATTGTTTTCTTTGGAACTGAAGATATTATTAATGTTTGTTGTGTTAATTGCATCTCGATCTTGTGTTCAATGTTAGTAATGTGTCCTGGCAGGTAAGTTAATTATAAATTAGTTCCTGATAAATTTTTGAATTACATTTGTAACATAACTAATAAATACATTTTCCTGAAATGGATTTACTCTTCTATGTATTCTGGTAGGAAATAGGTTTACAGTCAAATCTCGGTTCTCGAACATCTCCCATCTAAAATAATTTGGTTGGTCACAGAAAAAATGTCTACGTTGTCCAACCAAACTTCAGTCTTTGAACTGACAACTCTTTCAAGCTGGTACATCAGCACGACAAAAAGCATCTCTCAGGCAACAAAGGACAGAATGCTTTTATTGCTGATGAAATCTAGCACAATTTTTCAAACATTAAGAGGCCATCAAGAGTGCTAATGTTGCTAAGGTTGTGAAAGAAGCAATGCTCACTGACAACTGAAGAGGTAGAGAAACTTGTTGATTTGGATAAAGGAAAAGCAGCCAGTAACAGCCCTTTCAGAGGCAGTGATATATAAACAAGCAAAGATGCTGCATACTGACCTGAAAGACATCCTTGAACCAAATGCTAAAAGTGATTCCTTTAAGGCTAGTAGGGGATGGTGGTTCAATAAATTTAAGGAAAGTGTTTATAGATTAAACAGTACTTTAGACATGTACTGTATATAAGAAAGGTTAAACCAGGAATCATTTCAGGGTCTGGAACGGATTAATCAACTTACATTATTTCTAATGGGTAAAAATGATTCCATTTTCGAACAAATCAATTCCAGAACAGCATTCCAGAACACATTAAGTTTGAGAACCGAGGTTCCACTGTACATAAAAATGTCTTAGGATCTTAGATCTTGACCAAGGCTATATATATTTTTTCATATTTAGCTTGAGGTTATTTTCAGCCCATCTTCAAATCAAAAGAATATTAGACTGCTAGTAATTATTCTGTGTCAAGTCACTTCATCTCTTTGTACCTTTTTATTTTTGTATATAATGGGAGATAATACTTGGCTTAGAGGATTTTTAGAAAATAAATCAAGCATAATGATTTGAAGGTGCCTAGTTTTCTGAAGATGGGTATATGGATTTTTCTTACTTCTATACCAGAGATAGAGGAAACATTTGAGTTCTTCAAAATATAATAATTATTAAATTATGAATTAGTGAACATTTTATGACAATTTTCTTGATTCATTGCTTCCACAAACATTACTAAATTTATGATACATGTCAGGCACTGTGTTAGGACACTGTGTTTGGTGCTAGTGATAAAAAATAATCAAGACATAGTTCCTGCCTCACAGAACTTATGAATTTCTGGAGCATATAGGTTTGATTTTTTTAACTCATTTTTACCAACCATACGGCAGTTACAGAAATGCAATAACCAAATTTTGATTTCTTACTAAAACATCTTTCAACTTTGAATTTTTCTTATGGTGAGCAATATCCAGTGATAATTGGCTTTAATATCCATTCCAGAAATACCTTATACTCTAGTAAATTAGATTATTTTCTTCCCAGTTTAAAGATAATTTTTTCTCTATGTGACTTGTTTTATTTTGCACTGCGTGAAATTTTCACAGATCCCAAAATAAAAATCAACAGAAGAAATGGAACTTAAGTTTCTGTGTCAAAGTTATTGAGGACTTTGGAATAGTATATCACCTGGGAAGGCAGTACTTTATTTATCAAAACACATTAACAACATGTTACAGGTTAAATTTATGGTAGTTAAGCCACTTATTCCATGTTGTTATAATAAGTTGTCATTCCCTGTAGCATGGTTAATCATTTACAAAATAAAGTCCCTATCCATTACTTGCTTTACATCAATATGTGTTTCAATGAAATAGTTTTTTTTATTGAACTAAGTTCATATATGGATTCAAAAATCTGTGTATTATAATTTTTCACACAAATGGAGTTTGTCTTGGAGACCTTCAATCAGTTTTTCCTTTTTTGCAACAGCTGTTCATAGTTTCAAGTTGAGTCGAAATCATGTGGACTGGCACAATATGGATGAAGTATATATTTATAGTGATGCAACAACATCTAAAATTGCAAGAACAGTTACCCAAAAACTGGGATTTTCTAAAGGTAATTGTTAAATATTGCTATAATTTGTTAAAATTTGGGAAATCTGAGTTTTTCTCTTATATTTAGAATAGGCTATTCAAATTATATTTTTAGTATATTTTAAATATGTATTATAGTTAATGACAGTTACTGACCTGTTAAATGAAAAGTTTATTAAGGTGATTGACTTGACATGTATTCATCAATGAATAATTATATATTTAGGATGATCTGACAAGATTAATAAAAAATTCTTTCATACTTCTAAAAGCATAAAAGCAGTCAAACCTAAGGTACTAGTGTGAAAATAAAACCTCGAGATGGAAACACAGTATTAAGGAAGATGAAGACTGAAAATTTTTCATTGGACTTAATAAAATGGTGATTTAGATGGATTGATGGGGCAGAAGCCAGAGTGGCATGGTTAAGTACAAGGTGAAGAAATGGAGGCAGGGTAGTAGATAACTCTTTAAAGACGGTTGACAAAAAAGAAGGAAAAGAGGGGATGGTACCTGGGAAGATATGAGAGCATTATCAAAAAATAAATTAAAAAAATTTTTTTTCAAGTCTGACATAATTTTTTTATTATCCCATTTTTTGCTTTAATTTCTTTGATAGCAGGTGTGTTTGAATATTGTTTTATATGTTCATTAGTTGGTTGTATTTGTTTTGTGAATTACGTTATATCTTTTTTCTGTTTTGCTGTTTGAAGGGTTATCTTTTCATTTTTTTATAGGTAAGCTCTCTTTGTATATTTAGGCAATTAACTTACCATGCATCATATTTTATATAAATTTTCCATTTGTTATTCATCTTTTATTTTTGCTTCATGGTATTTTTTTATAGAGAAGTTTAAAATTTTTATGTGTTCAAGTCTTCCTTCTTTCCTTCCTTTTTTCCTTCCTTCCTTTTATTTTTCCTTATGGTTTCTAGCTTTGGTGTCCTGTCTAGTTTAACATTTCATATCAAAGCCAATCAATATACATCATCTTACAAATTTTATTTCTTCTCAACCCAGTGAAATTTTTTTGTAATACTCTATTTTTTTCTTTATTTCTTTCAATATATTATGAGAATGCTATTTTTAGAATAAATAGTAAATTTTGAGTCATAAATTTTTTACAGCATCAAGTAGTGGGACCAGACTTCATAGAGGTTATGTAGAAGAAGCCTCATTAGAAGACAAACCATCTCAGACTACCCACATTGTATTTGTTGTGCATGGCATCGGGCAGAAGATGGACCAAGGAAGAATTATCAAAAATACAGCCATGTGAGTTCTTTGATGAATACATTCTCCATCTAGTTTAGAATCTAAACTTTGTTCCTCACTATCTTCTTCCATATTTTCTTCTTTTTTTAAAAATAGCCACTCCAGATAATTACAACCAAGTGATTCAGTAGACATGGCTGCTTGTCTAACCAGTACCTATTTATGTGACCATTGAGAACTATTGATAATGATGCTTGGAGTGTAGGATTCTGTAAGTTACTGTAGAAAAGGACAGCATTTTAAACAAATGTGGTGTTTTTGAGTTTATAACTGAAAATGAGGGTTCCTCAAACTCATCACTATTGATGTTTTTGACCAGATAATTTTTTAATATGGGTGGCTGACATATCAGTTGTAAGATATTTAGCAATATTCCTGACCTCTACTCACTAGTTGCAATTAGAACCCCTACTTGTAACAACTAAAAATGTTTCTTGACATTGCCAAGTGTCCTCTGGAGGAAAAAATCGTCCATGGTTGAGAATCACTAGTCTAAATGACCTTTTTTTTTTTTTTTGTAAATTCAGATAACAAATATACCACTTCCTAATAATTATTTCTCAATGAATGCTGGGGTCCAATCCCAGCAGGTCCAGGGGTCCCCAAAGGTGTGGATGGAGTCGGAGAAGAAGGAATGACACGAAGACAGCCTTCAGTTGGTCAGCAGCCTAGTCAGGACCTATAGCCAGGATCTCCAGCCAAAGTTCTGGTCGGAGTTCTGGTCAGGAACTGATGAGGATCTGACGTTTATTGTCTTATTACATCCGTATTTATACCAGCCGATTCCAATCCCGTCAATTTCTATTACAAGGGTTAAGGTGTTTCTCATCTCCATTCCAGGGAGTAAAGACCATGTAGCTTAATTACCCGCCTGGCACTTAATTAAGGGGTTGTATCCCCTCCCTAACCTCAGGGAAAGATCCCCACCTGGAGAAACAACCTTTCTCGGAGAGGTGACCTTGGTTAAAACACATGGCGCTAAAGGGAGCAAACATATTAAAAACAGTATGCTACATACGCCAGGTCCACTGAAACACATGCTGTGCAGATGCCTCTTTCCTGCAGCGACTGCGTCAAGCAGCAAGGATGGACCGGCCTCCGGCAAACGAAAAACATAAAAACTGTACAGCCATCAAAGAACTTGTATGTATATATGCATAACCCATAGACACAAGCAACAGTGCAGTGAAGGCCTGGGGAAGGGGCAGGAACAGGGTGGAGGGAGGTCAAAAATGAATACGTGAGAGAATAATAGAAATCTTAAAATATTTTTTCTTTTATATACTCATATTTGTTAAAACTGAACATTTGATTGGATGAGAAAGAAATTGTTTTTTGGTAA